TGTGTGTGTGTGTGTGCGTGTCACCAGGGTGACCGGAGGGGAACTGTTTGAGGACATCGTAGCCAGAGAGTATTACAGCGAGGCCGATGCCAGGTAGGAGCGCAGCCGTCATTCCTGTATGCGTGAAAGGGTTTCTCCTTGTTCCTTAAATGGTCTGTGTTGTGTGTTGTCTTCTCTCGTCTGATGTTCTTTTAATGTTACATATTATTCTTCTGTGACTCTGCTTTACTCTCTTTTATACTCTTTGCTCCTCTTCTTCTCATTTTCCTCTTTACTTTAACTTTCTGCTCTGCCATAAAACTGCCATTGAATGGGGAGGCAGCGAGTTAGTTCAATTTCAAAGTGCAACAGATGTTACATCAAATATCTTGTAGCAAACATTTAGCTACCAGCAGAGTTCCGTTTGTAATGAATAGACAAGTGATTTCTGCAAAGTACAAACCATGTCACAGCAAATAGTTAATACATTTGTGTTCTAAAAAAACCAACGTCAATTGAAGTTGAAGTAAAACAGTAATTAGACCATAACTCATGAAACCCCAAGACATAACAATTATTTAGCTAATAAGAATAAAAACTGCAAACTGCATGAAAACTTTAAGTATGTGTCTAAATGATCCAATTAGCTTGACTGGTGCAGGTGGTTCAGGGTATACACCTATACAGTTATGCTCACTCTTAATTTTTCCCCCTTTTCTCCCCCTTACTCAAACAGTGGGAGAAATAAAAAAAACCAAATGGATCTTTACCCACCTTTAGTGTTTGCGTATGTGGACAGTCTCACCTTTTATATTTATTTTCTTTTTATAATTTTCATTCAGCCCTCTTTTTTACTTTCTTTTTCTCCCCCCACCACCACCCATGTTTTATATCTCACTCCCACCACTCCTGCTGACTCATCGACACACACAGTTCACTTTAACCAATGGCGGGAGAGGAAATGGAGTGCTGGGTGGGTGGACAGACAATAGACTGAGAGAAGAGTGAGAGAGATACTTATAAATGACAGTTGTGATGTGGGTGTTACTCCATTCAGCAACATTAAAAGTACAACTGAATAGTCTGATATTGTAGAAATGTACGTCAGTATGGCAAACTAACTTGGTACTATCTATGCCTTGATCTCTACTCCCAAAGCCGTTTGACTTGTAGCTTGAGAACAGGGAACTTAGGTAATTTGAGCAAAGTGTTATCTAGCTAGCTGGCTTTGTAACCAGGTTTTATTACGTTTACTCAAAATGCTTCAAGTCACGGTTTCTCTTCTACAGAGGCCACCCTGTAGACATGCCTTTTGTATTTTTCACGAGTTTTATGACCACCGTAGTTTCTCGACCCGTGGAATGGGTCTGTGAGGTGATGGCGTTTTAATCTATATCACTAGATGCCACTAAATCCTACATACTGGTCCTTTAAATATCCATTATGTAACATTTGATAAAAGAATTGTTTTTATTTTCGTGAAAAATTTTATTTTCCGGTTTCTGATGAGTCTGTTCAATTACATATTCAAGGATTTAAGGTCATTTTATTGTAATTTACAACGCAAGGGTGTAGATGAAATTTGATAAAGTTACTGTTATGCTACTTTTAAAAACACAATAAAAATTTGTCAGTTAAATGATTCATAAAAATAAAAAAAATATTGTGTATGATGAATTCTTAAGAAAGAATTTAACAGTCTCAAAGACTGAGGGGAAAAGTTGTCTTTAAGTCTTGTGGTACAGCAGCAGACACTTGTACCTCTTCCCAGAAGGCGGCAGGGTGAACAGGCTGTAGCTGGGGTGCGTGCTGTCTTTTACTATCGTTTGGATAGGCACCCCACCTCACCAATATCAGTGATGCTGGGTATTTGGTTATAAATGATCTTCTGGGCAGTTTTAATCACCCACTGCAGAGTCCTCCTGTCCTGGGCTGTGCACACATCAGTTTGTGATGTTTTCCAGTCAGGTTTCTTTCTGTCGCTCCTCTGTAAAAGTTAACAAGAACTTGGCACAGGAATATTGCCTTAATAAGTTTCCTTAACAGCTGTTTCTGAGCTTTCTTAACCAGGGTGGAGATGTGAGATGACCATGAAAACTTCTCTGTGATGTTGATTCCCAGGAACCTAAAACTGTTCACCTGCTCCACCTCAGCTCCACTGATGTAAACTGGGGGTGTGTGTCTTTGTCTCTCTTTTCCTAAGATGTTGAGCCGTCGGTTGTTTTTGAAGTTTCTCTCTCATTGTTTGAAATCTGGCCAGTGATGGTGGTGTCATCTGTAAACTACACAACAGAGTAGTCTCCATTTTGGGGAATGTAGTCATGGGCCCCTGAGGGGCTCTGGTGTTTAGCGCAAGAGCGGAGGATGTGTGACCACCAATCCGAACTGTCTGGGGTCTGTTTGTGAGGAAGTCCAATATCCAGTTGCTGAGTGTGGTACTCAGTGCTGAGTTTACCAATACGATACCAATATAAACAAGAGGCACCACTCTTACTCACCTTATAAATGCATTCATTTGTTCTATTTAATTCACATCAAGTCTTTTTCAGACAGTTTAGATTGCAAATGTTTTTATTCATATAATCCATATATTTGATGTACACCCCAGGCAAAATTTCAATGAAAATATTTTAATTGTGTACAATAAGTAGCCTAAAAATAACATTGTTGAGAGCAATCGTGGCTTTGACTCACAGCTCAGCTCTTAGTCAGTGCGGTACACTCCCATCACCAATTAAATCAAGCCTGATATGGTCTATTTCTTGCCCGTGCATGGCAGAACATCTTGATTTTTATGTGAACAGATTAGAGCAGTCCCACTGCCCACGAGTATGTGGAAACAGGGCTGGCAGCAGCAGCTCGGCAGCAGCCACACAGCTGACACGCTCTCGGTGTGAACGCTGTGTGATATTGGACGCAGCCGTCACGCGCTGCTCAGGCGGCCTATGTGAACGAGCCGTTATAGTCATACCTTTTTCACAGTGTGCTTGATTAGCTCAGATGATGAATTGGATACATATTATGGTTCTATTATAGCTCTGCAATGGGTCTAGAATTAAGTTTTGCATCCAGTTTTAGCGAAGTATTTAGCAAGATGTTGATATAATGGCAGCTGCTGCTGTAAGGCATGGCAACATCAACAACGGGTGGTATAGAGGCCCACATGTCACCACAGAGAAAAGGTCATATCTCATATTAGTCTGTAATCAGTTCTGTTTAATGCAAACATACAAATCCTGGCTTTTAGAAAAACACAAATGATGTGTGTATGAACAACAAATCAATTGAACAACAAATACTCTTCTTCAAAAAAGTATTTTTGCTATTTCAGGTGCAGTTACAGCTGCTGCTTCCTTTCTGGAGTTTTGTGGATTTTTCACCACGGACAAATTGTGCGAAAGACAAATGCTAGATATTATTTTTCCACCTGTATCATTAGATACTAATCAATGCAAATATGATTGCACAAAGTGTGCGAAATCCTTTTTCCAAATAAAACTTGGTTAATACAAATCATTTAATAACATTGTGAGTGTGTTAGTTTTTAAATATAATCTGCATGATATGTCAAAGTATAAAGTTACAACTAGAAGATCCCTTTTTAATGTATTAGGTGATTGTAGCAACATATCTGAGGCAGCCAGAGAGACGTATAATACAGAGATCTGACTTGCAGTCACTAAATTTCTGTTCTGATGACTCAAACTGTTAATAGATATATAAATAAATAAGAAACTGACAGCTCTACACCCTGCAGCATAGCAGAAGTAGACTCATTTACACACACACACACACACACACACACACTCATACACACAATGCATTTTATACCCAAATGAGAGAGACAGAGTATGTGTATGTGTGTGTGTGTGTGTGTGTGTGTGTGTGTGTAGCTCTGTTTGGCTGTTTACTTGTGAATTTAACAGCAATGATAAGGATCTGTATACTATATTTGCTCAGTATCTTTAGGTGATAATAAATGTGGCATTTCTACTGCTCACTTGCTGAATGAAGTTCCACATACTGTATTCTCCAGCAAAGCTCAAGCCAAGATATGAGAGCATCTCTTATTTTGACTGTAAGCAGTACAAAGGCTGTTTGCAGTTGCAACGTGATAGTTTTAAATACTACAGCACTGCTTTAAGTCTTCAACAGTACTGTGTCTTTTTGCTGTCCTGCGCATTGGGACCTGCAAGAGCTTTTACACTAGCAGATAAAGTTTCAACTGTGTCGTGGTTAGTTGCTCAAACCAAAAGTGGCAATGAAAAAATAGGCGGGCTTATTGAGTTTTTGGCTTTTACAAGGCGTCATTAATTTTCTAAAAATTGTGCCTAAGGATTTCAGTTGGCTCAATTATCTGTGAGTTTCATCTGTTTGTCTCCTGTGCGCTAAGGAGAACAGAACTGCATATTTCTTCAACTACTGCCAGCCATTTCTCCTTATGCCTGATACCGAGAAGCCTCAGTTTTAGCTTTCTCATTTTAGCCAGCTAACAAAAAGCTGAAGTGCATGCTTGATGGACTATTAAGTGTATATAGTTTGTATACTGTTGTCTATTTGGTAAATGATTATATATATACATGTATATATATTTCATAGCATACTCTTGTGTGAGTGTGTGTGGGCTGCTGTGAACCTACCGTATGGTATAGTACTAATAACTGCCTTCTAATGATTGCTCTCTTCACTGTATAACCCTTTCTATACTCATGTCTGGCTCATGTGTCCTCACACACACACACACACACACACTCACTTTCCTTTCCCCTCCCTTCTGAATGTCAGTCATCCAGGCCAGTTCCCCCCCTCCCCTCCACCCCACCCTCACCCTCACTCCCTTGGAGACCTGAAAAAAGTGGGACTTTAATTAGCTATGATAATTAGTTTCACACACACTCACGCACTCACACAGACCCCAAACTGTGCTGGATCACACCTTGTCACCTGTCAGAATCTATCAGAGTTTCTTTTCAGTAGTGTTTGATTTGATGGAGGCCATTATGAGTATAATTTGGGAGTAAATCACACTAGGGAGCACACAGACTCAAAAACATTGGTGAGTTGTTTTGGCCAACAAACCATTACCTACATGCACATTCAGCAAACACAGTGCA